CAGGACACGTTGCAGAAGAGCCCTGGTGTGGTGGCCACCTCTGTGCAGTTGTGGCCATGCCCGAGGACCAAACTGGTTTCCCTGAGCTAGGTTCTGACCGCTTCGCCCGTTTGCCTGAGCAGATGGTTTTCCCACGGCTTCACCCGGGATTTGTAAGCCGAGAGCATCATGCTTTCAGCCGGCGCATCCTCAAGGTAGCTGCTCTCCAGCGAGCATGCCCTGCCGTGTGACGTGCTCCCCACTCACCCCCGTCTGCAGGCCAGACCTCACAGACCTGACCTCGGGCCTCCAACCAGTCTCTCCTAGCACTTACCCCGTGTGTACACCCGTGCAGTCCAGACTGGTCATTCTCATTGGGGGCCCTGAGTTGTGAAAGGGCAGTGTCTTGGAGGGATGTCCTCAAATTACCCACATCACTCTTAAAATGAAGTGGGAATCATCCGCCCCCAACTCCACCCACAGCTTCCTGACTCAAAGGAATTGTCCGTTTTCTGTCCCCCGAGGCTGAATTCTTTTTTTTTCTTTTTGTCATCAGGACTCTGGCCATTTCAGGCTGGTCAGGATGTCTGATGGTCAACACATTGAGCTTGCATTGATTTGTGGTAACTGGAAAAAGAAGTCCGTGCATCCGTAGGTGCCGTTAGCTGGAGAGGCAAGCTCTTTCGAAGCCTAGGGCCACAGGTGCCACTAGCTGTGCCTTCCCAGCTTCGTCACGTCCATCTGTAGCCACGGCGACCCCATTTCATGTGCATCAGAACAGGCCTGGGCTCCAGGCCTGGAATCTGCACAGAAACAGGTCCCCAGACCTTTCTTACAAGGCACCACTAAGTGGGTTCAAACGCCAACCTTTCTTTAGGTTCCTGGTGGAGCGCATACTGTTTACATCACCGTCAACCCTCAGCTCCTCCCGAAACCAAATTCACTGCTCTGGGGTCATTCCAACTCAGGGGGACCCTAGAGGGTGGGGTAGAACTGCCCCCTGTGGATTTCAGAGACTGTAGCTCTGTATGGGGGTGGGAAGCCTTGTCTTTCTCCTGAGGAGCGGCTGGTGGCTTCAAACGGCTGAACTTGCTGTTAGCGGCCCAAAGTGTCACCAGGGCTCTGCAGCTCTGGGTAAATGATGACCCTCTCTGAGCCCCAGGCTTCTCGGCTGTAAAATGGGACCATGACAGCACCCTGGGGAGTCTTAGAGATTAAGTAAGAAAACCTTCAGGAAGGCCTGGCCTGCTGCGGGTGGCAACGGCAGGGGCCGGAGCCATGAGAGCCTTCTTCCTTATGCAAAGGTGGAGCTTATGGACACAGAGGCCCTGCACGGCCCACACCTGTGCCCCAGCGGGGCAGGAACTGCAGGCCAGCAGCGAGGGGCCTCCGTGTCCTGGCCGGCCCGCTGAGTGAGGGCTCTGGTGCCTGAGGTCTGACCTGGCACTAACACGGCACAGAGCGCAGCGGGCTTGGGGCTGCATGACGGAGTGTGTGGGCCGCCGCTGCCTTTGTCTCTCGCTTGCTGTCAATTTTCAGATACGACTATTCAACGCACAAGCAAATGTGAAATAAGACCCCGGGTACCCGCCCCCGCCCCCCCCAGTTTTCCCCGATGGTAAAATCCTGTGTCGCTGCAGCACAACCTCGGAGCCAGGCCATTGACACGGATGCCGCCCGCCAGCCTTATTCTGATGGCACGCATTGTTCATGCATGTGTGTGTGTGTGTGTGCAATGTTGTCACATAACACATGTAGCTTCGTGTAACTACCCCCACCCTTAAGGCCCAGAGCAGCTCCATCCCATAGTCCCCACAGCCGCCCTCACAACCACACCCCTCCCCGTTCCACCAAGCTTGGCAGCCGTTCACGTGCGCTCCGTAGTCCGGTTAGTTCAAGAATATTTGAAAGATGGCAAAACAGAGTTCATCACTGCTTGAGATGGGTTTTTTTTTTTTTTTCACTTAGCGTCATCATCCCCTTGAGCTCCATCCAAGTTGCCGCGTGTCTCAGTAGCGCCTTCTCAGTGTTGAGGGCCGTCTCCGGTGTCAGGCACGCCTTCTGGTGTGGCCACTCAGCTGCTGAAGGGCACCTGGGCTGCTTCCACCTTTTAGCAATCACGGAGAAGCTGCTGCGGTCCAACGCACACAGAGGCTTTGGTGTGTGAGGGCAAACGCCTGAGAGAGTGGACGCCAACCATTCGGAAAGATGGGGGCAGGGCGGGGCCTGGCCAGGCACATGCGCCTTCTCCCCATCCACCGGTGGCACCTGGAACTTCCAGCAGCCGAAAGCCGGAGAGCCGGCACATTCCTTGGAGCGAGTGGGAAAGGCCCTGGGGGCCTCTCACAGCACAGTGTAAAGCTCTCCCCTCGGTGTGGCCGCCCAGACATGGCGAGGGTCCAACGGCAGTGCCCAGGCCCAGGGGCTGCCCACCTGAGGAAGCCTCTCTTTGGAGGCTGCTGCCCCCTGCTCTCACCCTCAAAGTCATGCCAGACCCCATGTCTTCCAGGGAGACCAAGGGCAAGACGGATCTGCTGGGCCCCCAGGACCCCCTGGGCCCCCTGGAGCTCGGGGCCCTCCTGGCAACACCGGGAAAGATGGCCCCAGGGGATCACAAGGCCCAGTGGTAAGGATGGGCATGGAGTTGGACCATCCAGGACCCCGTCCTGCCACACAGAAACCCAAGACCCTGGACCAAGAACCAACCCCTCACTCCAATCAGACCATACCCCTGACCCAGTCCTAACTCTGACTGTAACCCAACCATAACCTTAACCCCAAACTCAGCCCCACATCCTGAGTCATCCTCCTACCTAACTCAGAGCATTTTCCGACCCAACCCTGACTCCGACAGACTCTGACCTTAGACCCAACTCTAACCCTGAGAGACCCTCGGCCCGACCTTCGCTGGCATTTCCATCCCAGCCCTGACGCAGAGGTCCATAAACCCAGAACCAAACTCCCACTGCCTTCGGTCCAATGCTGACTCGTGGCGACCCCGCAGGGCAGGCTAGAGCTGCCCCTGTGGGTTTGCAGCACTGTAACTCTTCACAGGGGTAGAAAGCCTCATCGGTCTTGAATGGAGCAGTTGGTGGTTTCAAACTGCTCACTTTACAGCAGCCCTGCATGTAACCACTGTGCCACTCACGCTCCCCTGAGACCTCCCCGTGGGTGCTTTATCTGCAGGACTTAACCAACCCCTACTCGTGTGTCTCTTTGTCTCTCTGACTCTCTGTGGCTCTTACTTACGCTATGACTCACCTCCATGCATCCTCCCATAGGCCTCATTCAAACTCTGGACCCCAGATTTCCATCTCCCCCTGTCTTACCTGCTCCAGCCAACCTACCCATCCCATCCAATGCAGAGCCAGCACTTCACAAGACTACCACCAGGGGGAGTGTGGGCAGTTGCTCAGTGGCTCATGCATTTCACCAGGGACAGGACGTGCGGGACTTCAATGTTCTGTTAGAAACAGGGCCAGCTATCCTATGTGCCTTTGTGGGGGAGGCGGGGGTGGTGGTGAGGAGAAAGTGTGATCACGCCCCTAGAGCCCCAACCCAGGCTCGGGCACACAATCGGCTCAGTGAGTGTGAAGGCCCCGTACCCCTCATTGCTAACATCTTATGCTTCCCTAGGGTCCCAAAGGCGAGTCCGGACCAGAAGGCGAGATGGTCAGTATCCGGGGCATGTCAGAGGCCCCCTGGGCACCCTGAGGTCCCCAGACTCGGAAGTCCCTTCCCTACTCCCACCTGCCAGTGGGTGCTCGGGGGGCTGGCCCTGGCAGGTTCCAGTAGCCCCACAGCATGGGGAGTCTGCAGTCTTCACAGCGGGAGGTGGAAGGCAGACGCTGCCCACACCCCAGGAGTCAGGCTGGGATCCTGCTATCAAATGAGGCTCTTAATAGACACGCGTGGGAGCTGCCCCCAAATGAAGGCTCACACTTTCTCTTCTTCTGTCCCAGGGCCCGAAGGGACCCTCAGGGCCCAAGGTGAGTCCTCCTCAGTCCCCACTCCCCTCCCCAGGCCCTCGGCATCTCCACGGAGGGAGGCCAAGGCTGCACGGTTAGGAGATGGGGCTCCTATCCCAGCTCTGCGATGAGCCGTGACCTTCAGGCCGGCTACTTCTTCTCACCGGGGGCCCAGTTTCCCCATCTGTTAAATGGGAGTGTGATGAGCCTTCCAGACAGGGGTGTGAAGGTGGGGCCATCAAGCACATGAGGGGG